TCCCATGTTGCCTTTAGATTATGAGATGTTCCTCTTATAGGTTTCGTTCTATAGAGCCTCTCCGCCAAGTTTCAGTATCTTCTGTCTAACACCTCTTCAAATAGACTAAAGCTTTCTTAAATGTTTAAACGCTGGAAAATCCATAGTTTCAATTCTTCTAGCACATGATTTACACTACATTTAGGAAGTTATTATCGAAATGCAGGCTGCAGCTCTTTGCTTTCTCATAGGCGCAGCTACAGCCGTCATCAGGCAGCCGTTGACATGGCAAACATCTCCAAGAGTTAGTTTCAAACAACTAGTTCTATAAGTAGAGACTGAAGCATGTTTAGATTGAAATGATAAGACGTGGAGTTTACGAAGATTATCTGAGGATGATGGACGCTATGCGAGCAGCAACTCCGGGAAAATTTCCAAATAGAGTAAAAAAAATTCCTAATGCACTTTCAAAGCTTAGGATCTAGATATCTGCCTCTTGAGTCAATTTTCTTTAGGCACTAGACTATCATGACTACGAATACGTCTCAACTATTACTATTGGGACACCACAACAACGTTTTGTAGTAGTTCCCGATACTGGGTCTGCAGACCTGTGGGTACCCGATGTTAAGTGCGAGTGAGTTGCTGTTGAGACATCATGATGATGGCTTTCATTCAAAAATTCACTCAATTAACGATGTTCAATAAAATTTTTTTTGCATAATTGACTTTTTCTAATTGAAATATTCACATATCTTATTTATTAGTATTCGCGTTGTTTCGCTCTTGTTACGTTCTCCGACTTTGTCGCTTTCATGCAACGCGGTGCCTTTACCTTTTTCTTCATCATTTTGGAGGACGGTCGCACATACAGGAAGCCGAATAGTTTTGAATATTGCAAAAATTTGATCAATTTCAGTTATGCATGTAGAGGAAAACACAAATTCTCTGCAAATTCTTCAAGCACCTTTGTTAGTAGCAAATCAAGGTGGTCTATCCGATATGCTACGGGAGACGCAAAAGGTGTTGTGGGCAAAGATATAGTCAGGGTAAAGACCTACTATTCAACAAACCCCTAAAAAAGCCGCTTATTTTTGATTTAAGATCTAACATGATCCGTGTTGTCTTTCAGCTTGGAGGAGAAGATGAAAAGCAGCTTGTGATTCCCGACAGCGTATTCGGCCTTGCAGAACATATCTCACCAAATTTCAAAAAGGTGGTTTCCAAATGCAAAAAAGTGTTTTTATCAATGTTTTCTCCAAATACAGAGTGCAATGGATGGAGTTCTCGGACTTGCGTTCTCGAGTATCTCTGAAATCAAGGGAGGACCTCCTCTGCTTAACGCTGTAAAGCGAGGTCAGTATTTCGTTTTTTTAGACCTAATTGCTTTGCCAAAGTTGCCAACAAAAGGGAAAGTGAGTGAATGAGCTTATCGTGGCTTTCCAAAAGCGCTCAGTTGGTTGGTCTGTAAGTGCGTGGGTGTTTTTCGTAGAAGGAGCGGATTATAAACAGGCGATAACCATAACATGATCCACAAAGTAGGACATATTGTTTGTTTGTTTTTGCCCCTTTTGAGGGGCTCTACGGTCGAGGCAGTAGTCTCTGCGCATTTTCCTTCAAGAAGGCAGTAAAATGTAAGATTATTTACACTTTCAGCAGAGATGCATTTATAATGGTTTTTTGATAAGGGTACTGTTTTAGCGTTTAATCTTTCGAGAAAGCGTCAGTGCGACTATTTGAAGGAGAGATTAAGCATTGTTTGGTTGTAGGTTAAATAAGTGACATTTGGACTATTTTCCTTATTGGGATTTGCGGAACATGGAATATCGTGTTGCCAGCAAAAAATTGCAAGAGCTAAATAGCTTCCAATCTGGTTGAAGCAAAGTAACCTAGAGGACCGAAGGGGTCTTCAGATTCTGGAGGCAAAGAGAGTACTTACATTTATCGTCGCCTTTCACATCAACGAATTCTGAAATGCTAAATAAGAATGTAAATGGTAAACTGTAAAACATAACTCTCACTTCACATTACCCTGCACTCTTACACATAATTAAACATAACCACATTTATACGTTCAAACCCAGAATGACCTAAGGTATACGATGAAGTTATACGACTCTTTGCTTCATGTTGAATTGGAGTAAGGAGGAGCAGTAAGGCGCATAATTCTTAAACATGCCTAATGCTGGGTTTTCTTTACTTGTTCTATTTTCAATCTCAGTATTTCCAATTTGAAGGTCTGCTAGAACAACCTATATTCACTGTGTGGTTAGCAAAACGTGGACTACGAGATGGCGTGTATGGAGGTCAGTTTACTTACGGAGGATTGGATACTGAACACTGTGGACCAGTTATTGCCTATGAACCATTGACATCTGCCTCACATTGGAGATTTAAGGTAGAAAGGCGTT